TATATAATATTTGCAACTCTTGGTGCAAACGCTGTTGCACAAACGTGTTTAGATGAGTCGGCAGAATCGAACGAACTCTTGGAGTCAAGAAACACCAGTTTTGTTAGTCGCCCGTAGAACTATCGCTACCATATTAATTGTTGGGGTGTGAATATCTGGTCGAAATACCTGGTCGGAATCCTGCTGGCTATCCGCGGGCAAGGGTACAGGGAGACAGAAGACAATTAACACCAGAATTTGTTACAATAAGGTTTAAGTTGATACCAAAGTGGTTGCCACATTCATTACCAGTGACACTTGAAAAGTTCGGTTGATCCCAATTGACTGGGACAGTCCTTTCCTCCCGAAGAAATGCCGATACTTTAGACAAAGTTGGCGGCAGCTTGTCAGTGCCAGAAGCTCGATGATACTTTCCATAGCGCTGGAGTCATTTGAATATGCTCGCCATATGCGGGGTCTGCTATTAACCGAAAACAGCAGATGACCAGCTGTATTATTGCTCGGTTTGTGCGGTCCGACAGTCTTTAGCAGAAACGAGTACACCATTTTCGCCAGTGAAATTTTTACTCATGGTAGATTCTTAGAGCCTGTCTCCAGGATAGGCTGGAATAATTTTCGGATGTCATTGTTTTTTTTGCTTCGCCCATTTTTTCAATTCTGCTGGTTCTACCTTTGTTGGACCTTTGGATAAGCATGAGCACGCATCTTTGCTTGACGGCTGACAGAACACCAGTAGGCACTGCATCAGCGGCAAGCCGGAATACGTCTACAGGATTCCAGCAGATCAGTGCTTTTAATGGAACTGATTGCAGTGTTCTGAAAGCAGAACGTCTAGGATATCGCACGGTTGTGTGAATGACATTCTAGTGGGAATTTAACCCCATATATGGATTATCTGGAAGGCATTGTGGGTCATTTTGGCACCTCTGTTTTATGTTGAGATTCGTGAGATTTCTAGCTGCTAGATGAGGCGTGCGAATGTCACATGAGCCGGAGAAGCGTACAGAAAGGCGCGTGATCCGAACCAACGGTGTTCAAAAACAAGCAGACAATGGATGGATCCGCATTACCGGTAGTGGATAGCGGGGTGGTCAATTTGCGTATTACGCTGGTTCATACGTAGAGGACATCCGGTGGTCAAGTAAGTTCGATTGTTTCGGAAACGGAAACGGCCTGTGGTCAGCATACAGCTGTAACAACTTCTAGTTATTGTCCGTTCGTACCGAGTCTCTTTCAGTCACTCAAATGAGTCCCAGCAGTGTAGTCTAACTACTACTACGATTATTTCTAAGTTTTCAGTCTGCTGCAATTAAGTGCTCAGAGCGTCATAAAAACTGTCTTAGATCATCCGGGAGTAAGCAGGCAGAATGGACTGGCGACGATCATCAGCTCGTTTTCAGGATTCTCGAGATACCTCAGTGATTAAGGCGCCAGCATACAGAACGGAAGGTTCGTGGTCCAGGACGATTGATCTTGTCGAGGCTTGGACAACCTGGCAGTATCCCAGCCCTCGTGCCTTCTCCCGTTGGCATGGCAGTTAGGCGCCGAAAGAGTGCTACAGCTAAAGGATTTTTTCCAGGATGCTTGTACAAACTTCGTTGAACCGATGGTGCAGATGCAATTATCGACGATTAGCCAGTCAGACAGACAACCTTTCGCCCGACTATCTAAATCAATACTCGCCTCAGCATCGCCAGCTGCAGTGGCCTCCGGAACACCAGAGGTATACAACCGGAAACGAGAAGAAACCGAAGTGGCAGTTAATTCGCAACCTTGCTTAGTTTCTCAGATAAATAGCCGGTGAAGTATTACTGACGTACTAAATGCTTCCGATTCTGGTAACTATCCACGCAAGTGTTCCAAAAGTCACAGTGGAATAGAATATAAGGTACAGTATGAGCAAAATGTCCAACTGAAGATTAAATAATTCAGCTAGGATAAATCGAGCTCCCGTTCAATTCCAGCCAGGCTGCCAAGCCAAACGGCTCAGTGATGGCAAAGCAATCACTGACAAAACAATCAATAGACTTTCCGCGTGCTAACTTGCGTCGACTCGGCTTTGAAAGACGAGACTGTTTGACTCATCCAAGTCACACGGGCTACCCTTGTCGACCACTTCTCTAAGATGTCGAGATCCACGTGTTTACCAGTCATCCACTCCCACTTGAAATAGGGCTCTGACAGTCAGAGTTGGCACATTTGATCAATCTATCGGTTACACACACACAAGTCACTCCTTCATGGAAGATGCGTTCGCATGCTGGTGTATGTAATGCGTCCACTTTGTCCTGAGCGAGCTTCTCAGATTTTTGAGATTGGATAGGCACTAAGTTTCCATTCCTTACAAAGCATCAATTTCTCACCCGGCCCTGACAAAACGATTTTCAAACTGGCCACAATGCACAATACATTATCCACAGTATAGCTGAAAATTCTTCGAAAACCTATTACCATTTCGCCTGCTTGGGGCTCATCAGATAGGTGTAATCCCCGAGCACCCATTAATTGAACACCAAGTGGTACACAAGCTGCGAAACAAACTCTATTGCAAGTTATTTTAGTGTTGTCGACCAGGTCAGCTAAAGGATCTCACGAAGGGGAAGATCAGTTAGGTCTCCCATTAAAATCAAAGTGATCTGAAAATGAGTGTATTACACTGACCGGAAGTTCACCTCTCAGGGCTTGACCATACCCGAAAGGCCAGTGGAGAGTAGCCAGAAAAGCAACAATGAGGCCCTCCAACTACGAACAGTCCTAATGTGAGACGGTCTATGAACAGTAGACATGTTGTCTCAGGCGACAAGAATCTTCACATTTATGGAAGAAGCGATACTGCCTTCCACTGAGAAAGGGTGAATTAATAAAGGATGCAAACAATAGTAAATAAGCTAAATAATGCTGCCTCGCGGTTTGGTATACGCTTCACACCTGAAAAGTGTAAAGTGCTACTGCAAGACTGGGTGGGCTCGAACCCTAACCTCATACTTGCGGATGAACCGATTGAGGTGGTAGACAAATTTGTTTACCTGGGCAGCTGTATCAGTCCCGGTGGTCTCGCGAA